GAGTTGGTGTGCTGTTAGCCGCGGATGCCGGTCACAGCTAATCTGAAGTGGCTTATCCACAGTTTGAGCTGCAGCCGCCGTTGTGACACTGACAGTGCATACCTTTGCCATCTACCCAGGGATCCTGAATTACAGGAAGAGGGTAAGACAGTGATAAGCCAGCATGTAGTTTGTGTAGGCTCAACCCCCGGCCCCCTCCCCCCCCCCCCCCCCTCTCACCCACGGTAGGAGCTTATGAAGTATCATCAACGCACTATGCTGAAGGTCATTCTTCTTCTGGTGTTTTCTCTGTCCTAACAGATCGCTGGTGCAGAGAAAGATGTGAAGAAGGCGGCAAGCAAGATCAAGGCCGTGTGTAAGGCCGTGAGTGACAGTGAGGTGACGACGACAGTGCCGTTGCCCGATGAGACGCAGGATGACCTACTGGCGCCGGAGAGCGCTCTGTTCCAGCAGCTTTGCCATGAGTACTGCTGTCGCGTGGAAGTGAGCAAGAGCAGGGATGCTGTTCAACTGGCTGGGACAAGTGAGAACGTAGCAAAGGCCAAGGCAGCCATCGACTATGCCCTTGGCGGTGTCAATACATCCAGTCTGGAGGAGGCGCCATCTCAACCAACCACTTCGGAACCACAGGTAATGTATTTTGTACTGGGGTCAATGCTACTAGTATAGCAACGCTGGTACTTTGAATGGCTTCAGCAAGTATACATATAGGCAAGAGTACATAAACCATCATTACTCTTGATATAGGCTATGTGTAGTAGGAGGGAACTGGCCAGTGGTCTGTCTTGCAAGTCTGAAATTAAACACCTGCATGTGATCGCTGTGTACAGCTCCCACGTCACGATACATGACCAAGTACGTTTTGATTTGCTTTCCAACAGGACTGTAGCGTGGAGACGTTCTCGATATGCAAGCAGTTGACTGTCGCGCTGTACGGATACAATCGCAAACTGCTTCGCTTCATCAGCTCAGAGTGTGAACACATCAAGATCTCAATAAATGCTACAAATGAGGTGAGTGGAGCAAAACCGGTGTCTAGCGACCACACCGCGAGTTTAAAAAAACTTTTTAAAGGTATCACACACCCAACTCACGAGGGAAAGAAGACAAAGGAAAAGAAAGGATAAGCTACAACATAGCTACCTACATTCCTGGCAATCAACTTCACCTAAAAGACACATTGCAAACAAAGCTTCAACTTCACCTAAAAGACACATTGCAAACAAAGCTTCAACTTCACCTAAAAGACACATTGCAAACAAAGCTTCAACTTCACCTAAAAGACGCATTGCAAACAAAGCTTTCGGGGGAACGATATGAAGTTCTTGGTTTGTGTACAGCCGGGTGGTGTCAGAAATTAGATTCTTACGAAACAGTCCTGTAGTCTAGAATGCAGGAATTTGTTTACCATGGCTGCTGAATGGATTATAGATAGTTGCTTCTAACTGATTGATGTCTTGCTGCTGAATGGATTATAGATAGTTGCTTCTAACTGATTGATGTCTTGCTTCTGACTACTTCAAAGTATAGTTAAACTCTGATATTGTGACCACTCTGATATGGCGACCACCTGTCCTAGAGGACCACTTTAACTATGACCGAAGGATGTTACTTCCAGTTTACAGGGTGGAAAGAGACCCTGGATAAGGAGACCACCTGTACACAGGGACCGCATTTTGAAGGCCCCTGGAGCGGTCAGCTTAGAGAGGTCTCGATGTATGCTTTAACATGCCCAGTGCATTTGTCCTGTCTAACATATGCAGGTCAGCCTTTCGGGCTCAGTGGACGGAATCGCGTACGCCAAGGACCAGTTGCAGAAGCTGAACGAGGACTTGGACAGCATCACCAGTGTGCAGACCATAGCAGTCAAAGCGCCGTGCCACAAGTTCCTCTTGAGTTCGTACGGCGTGCACAGCAAGCTGCAGCGGCAGAAGCTCGGTGTGCGCATCATCCTGCCGGACAGCACCGATACAAACCGCGACCTCATCTACATCTTTGGCAGGAAGAAGGATGCACAGGACGTGAAGAAGCTGGTGGAGGACGTGGCCGTGAAGCTGTCCAAGCATTACCGTCAGAGCATTCCTGTGCCAGCGGAGTACACCAACCGGTTCACGGAAATGCGGGGCAAGGTGGGCCGGAATAGTGTGAAGCCATAGTGAAAATACTCTGCATGTCGTCCCTGGCTCCTTCTACTAGTGGTCATTGTGCTAGTACTCAACTTCATATAATTATACTTTTACATGTATAAGTACGTCACTGCAGTGCCCACCAGCTAACATCCTTTGGCGTATTTGATACCTTGGTCCTTTGGTGTCATCGTTGTCTCGGCAGTCCAACCTATACTAGTGGCGATAAAATATAGAGTTTAGAGATAGTTACTTCACTGATGAATCCACTGTGCCATACAAAGGCAGTACATTTGACTATGATTTGAGTGGACCTCGGAGCCATTAATCCACATTTCCCGAGATTTCATCATGGCAAAGCTTTAAATGTACCGTATTTTCCGGAGTATAAGCCTCACTTTTAATTGCGAAGTAATCGTACTCGTAATCCATCCCAAAAAGGTCAATGCGGCTAATACTACCATGGTCAAATCATCGGAATGGTGAAATACAGGGTAGACGTCTGTTTTCCGTGACAACAGAACTGGGTGCAGCGTCTACTCCAGGGCGGCTTTTACTCTGGAAAATACAGAAGCCGTACAGTTTTATTGTAAAATTCATAGAATTGATTATCATTCATCTTGACACCTTGACTGCTGGGTGTCTCGTATGCTGCAGGTGCTGAAACAAGTCACCACCGACATCGGCTGCGGTGTACATCTGCACCTGGAAGGTGGCCAGAGCGCGGAGCACCTTTCCCTGCGCAACATCGTCTTCAGCGGTCCAACCGTGTGCTTCCGTGCTGCAGAGGAGAAGATCAGCGACTTGGTCGGACAATATGTAAGTCATTGCTGCAAGTGGAAATGCTGTGCTGCTAATCAAGGCCAACCATACCGTTGTTGTTGAAATTGTATCCAAATTATCTATCTGTTATTTTGCTGTTGCTGCATACTGCACAGGACTCCTTCCGAACTCAAGTATGCAAGGTACCATTTGAGCTGTTTGACTCTGTGAAAGGTCCCAATGATGCGTACATACAACAGCTGATGGAGGATTACGATGTCAAGATTGTCTTTCCTCCGCCACAGCCACTGAGGAGAAAACGCCGTCTCATGGATCACGTGGGAGATGTGAAAGTTTCTGGCCAGGTGGGGGATGTGGAGAGGGCCTGTGATGAATTAATGGTGAGTTTAGACTTTCTTTCTGGACTCCCTGGACTGTCTATTGGAGCATGTCCTCGCAGTGACTGGCTTAACTTGTCAGCATTGCTACATCTCACAATCCCTAAACTTGTTGCCGTGACAATATCTCACAATCCCTTAACACTCTGTTCTGTCTGATGATTGCTTGTGCATGGAACTCTGAGTTTTAGTTTCAAAAATGTTACAAGTTTTGACTAAGTCCTTACGAGTCCTTTCCTTTAATCCATGATTACTTTGGCTCAACACCCGACTTCAAATCCTAACTTAGTAGTAGAGATTTTGAAGCATTCCATGCTCAATAACTGCATGTTTTGCTGACTGGATGGCATGTGACTGTGTTGCTTGTTGCCCTTGGATTTGCTAGGCTGCTGTTCCGGTATGCCGGGAGGTACGCGTACCCTTGGAGTATTATTCCTTCTTTGCTGGACACAAGTCGTCCTACCTTGACCAGCTGAAGGAGGAGTTCCAGGTTGTGATCAAGGTGAATAACTGCTACCCAATAACGGTGTTCTAGCATTTTATGCTCTCTGTTGGACACGTGCTGCCATAATCATAGACTGCATATAGAGCCATGGACTGCATATAGAGGCATGGACTGCATGTAGAGCCATGGACTGGATATAGCCCTGGGCTGGTTACAGAGTCCTGGACTGGATATGGAGTCATGGACTGGACATAGAGTCCTGGACTGGTTATGGAGTCCTGGACTGGTTATAGAGTCCTGGACTGGATATGGAGTCATGGACTAGATATGGAGTGTGCGAGCTAATAGCATAATTACGCCGTAGGCTGAATCTGGCGGATTCTTATGTGCGCCAAATATTTGGTCATCTGCACCCGGCTTGTCATTGCACCCTGCTTCTTCATTTCTGGCATTGATGCTGCTGCCATCGCCGCCGATTCTATCACTATTACTGTTGGGGACTGTGTACAGGTCAAGCCGGCAGAAGAACTCTATGGAATTATTGTTGTGATTGGCCCAGAAGATGATGTCATTAGCTGTTGCCAGTACATTGAACAGCAGGTCGGTCTGCTCGCTCAGGAACAGAATCATAGAGAGAAGCTACGGTTTAGCATGACCATCGACGTGGACATTCAGTACCAGAAGAAACTCATAGGCAAGAAGGGATCGCGGGTAAGCATGTGTAAAACACAATCATTGTCATCGTACAATACACTACGTAGGTTTTCAGTGCAAAATCTGTTTACTGTGGCCATTGCAAGTGAGCAATAGTGTGGCTTGTTGAAGTTGAGATGGCTGCACAGTACAGTATGATTATTACTTCTTCAAGTCATAAACTCTCATGCTAACGTTACATCCGCTTGGTCCTGTTCAAGCTTTGAACCTCAGACACTCCAGGTGCTTATCTTGTGTGTGTGCGTGTGTGCTCTTGCAAACCTCTCAGTTACGGCAGATCTGCAGCAAGTTCCACATTGACATCACCATGCCGCCGAAAGGAGACGACACGTCCACCACCGTTCTGCTGCAGGGCTACGAGGAGAGGTGTCGCAATGCCGCCGCAGAGATTGAACGAATCTTGGAAGACATGGTACGGTTCACTGAATCTTGGTGAACTAGTGTCCTGTATACAACTACTTGAGGCATATAGTGTTAAATTAAATATTTAAAAACTGTTAATCCTATAAAGTGTGATTATATTCGATACTATAACGGTAACGGTCAGCCAGAGAGCGCATGTGATGTAGGTGGAATTGCTTTACAGTAGAATCCCGATTATCCGAATGTCAACTATCCAAACGGTCTATTATCCGTCCGTAATGCTTGTTTGCACTGAATTCTAGGCACGAAAATGAGTTTTTATTGATTTCCCCGCCGAAAGCATCATTGAAAATGGTGCACAGGATGTATGGCAAAAGGTTAGCGTCAGATTTTGTCCCCATGATGTCATTTTGAGGAGCTGGAGCGCATCTAATTCCTGTGGTACTACCGAAAAGAATGAGAAATTTTCTCATTAATTTCAATGATGAAAATATGAGGGAACATGTGCATGGTTTAGATTGATGTGTGCCCATTCTCTAATCCGAACATACTCCTCATCCGAACACCCTGGAGACAGCACCGCGCCCCGAGGGGTGCGGATAATCAGCACTCTACTATAATTACATTTGATACACTAGTATATTATGTCGGGTCCGGGGTGGTTAGAATGTTCCCTGCACATGAACACGCTACGTGACATCGCACACTCCCTAACACTGACTGGCACTTAAAACGATGCGTGATGCATGACTAGTGTTGCTGTGTATCATATCACTAAGTTATGAAATGTTCCAAAACTTGTGCTGTGCGCAGGAGGATCGCACTACTGCTCTGGTGGATACGATCCCTGGAGAGTTCCACCGCAAGCTCATCGGCCATCAGGGCCGCAACATCCGTTCCATCAGCGACAAGTTCCGTGTGGACATCAAGGTTCCGAAGAGCAACACAGACGGTCCGATCACAATCACAGGCAGGTCACAGGGTGTGAAGAAGTGTGCAGAGCACATTCAGAGTCTCGCCGAACAGCACGTAAGCAATCCATTCACCCCCCCCCCCCCCCTCATCGTACCAAGAGTGTGACTCTTGATAGTACCCGTTTGTGCGAAAATCTATTCCTTATCCAGTGTATTGATTTCAATAATGAATGCGCACTGCTCCGTGCCTTGGCATGTACAGCAGGATTTTTTTGGTTCCGCCAGGAGTCGGTGAGCACTTCTGTCTTCCTGGCAGGAAAGTGTTAAATGGATAAATCCCAATACCCCTCCTCCCCTACTTCACTAGCCGTGTGCATGTGATACACTATACCCGCCCCATCCCTGAGCATCTTGCTAGTGCGCTTGAAATGGGAATGTGTTTGCGGGCTGTGGGTGGAGAAGGAGAAATAAAGGCTATAATTATATTATAGTAACAGCCCATATTATCATTTCCGTTTTGTTTTTCAATCATCTCGTAGGAAAAGGCTGCGGAAGAAGATCAGGACACTAAGGAGCTGATGAAACTGTACATGTACAAGAAACCTGCACCGTCCATCTCCGACATCTTTGAGCTAGACTCTCCCAAGACGGAACCAGGACTAAAACGAAAGGAATCACCATCCACTTCCAGCAGCAGCAGCAGCAGCACGAGCAATGGCAGTGGCAGCAGCAAGACTGTTGGTGTTCGCATTGATGGTGGAAGCAGCGGCAGCGGCACCAGTGGATTTGTTGTTAGCGATGCGCCCTGGAGTCCAAAGGCCTGTGGCGAGGCGAGTACGAACGACAAGAACTCACCAACGACACCGACATGGCCACATCGTCAGGGAGAAACTAGCCGGGCATAGCAGCAGCCAATAGGCAATGGTGATATTGGACAGTACACCAGTATTGAGCAGATTTCTATAACAGTATACTTTAACATTACTTATGACCTAGCAAATTAACAAACTTAGAAGTTGCGACTTCATCACTAACAGATTAATTACGAACGTAAACTGATAGCGACATTGAACACTGAGTTCGCGTAGTAGGGTACTGTTTGAGAACAGCTCAGACAACATCTGTTCTGCTTCTGTCTGTGTGAATAGTGACTGTATACAGGGGGAGGGGGTATTATCAGAGTTTCCTCTTACAGTTAGGTGTCTGATGTACGAGTACACACTGCTTACGTGTATGTGGTCGCATTGGCAAGATTGAGAGAACCATTTACGGCATTTTTGAACTGGTCTGCAACGAATTGGTGCATTTCATAGATAGAGGTCATAGACAATGCACATCTTACGATCACATCCTGATGAAAAGTATGCTCAAGGTCACTTCTTGTGCTATCATGAGAATAATCAACTCAGTATAATTATAGCCAGAACAGAAGTAGAAGAAGTGGGGATTGGCAGATACGATTTTGATGGTGTGCATATAGCTTCAACGGTGATTCGGTCACATTCCGAATGCTGATCGGGATAGTCTCTTGATTCAAAAATTGAGAACTGGCTCTCATCTCCAACGTCTCCACTAAATGGAGTTGAAAGATTCGTATGCAGGCATATGTAGGTTCAGATAGCTGCAAGACTTGAAGAAGAATTGACGCTTCTGGGGATGTCAGATTTCTGGTGGATGATACAGATTCCAGGTATTCTGAAGCAACAAGTTGAACAGAAAATGCAACGCGCCGTCTTTCAATTTAACTCGTACACAGAGCTCGATCGAGGTACCAGTAGTTATCACTCTTCCTTGCAATCCATTGCACTGTGACCTACAGAGTATGATGTTGTCTCAGTCATGAGATATGAAAGTCAGGGCTGGAACTCTAACAAGCGTGCACAAGTCACAGTATTCCAGGAAAATACAATTTGTTGTATACAGTTTGAATGGTGTTGTTTTCATTTTAAAAGTTATGTACAACGAATAACATTACGGTCATGGATTCTTACCCCTGAGCCTCTGTACTCTTTCAGCAGAAACTCTAGCTCTTGGTTTTGATGTGTAACTGCTGCAAGCGCCTCCTGCTGGTGCTTGCGATGCTTTAGCGTCTCCCTGTGAGTCACAGCAGGGTTGGAAAAGGAGCAAGTCAATGACAAAATGTATAATTTATAGTTCACAACAGGGAGAGAACAAAATGCATGACTTTCGAACATTCACATTTCGTGAGTCATGCCCAAATTAGAGTGTTCCCCACATAACAATCATAGGTATCAAAAAGTCAAAAGAAAAAAAACTGCGTCGCCCGGGAATCGAACCCGGATCAACTGCTTGGAAGGCAACTATGCTGACCATTACACCAGCAACGCATCTGTTGACATATTCACATAACTGAAGTCCTTATACTGAAAGTAGTTAGTCTACTCTGGCAAGTGAGTGCAAGATGACAGTTCGAATCGTCAAAAATGCAATGTGCTGATATGACAGTGAATTATTAAAAAATAATTTATCCGGCTGGGAGTGCCTAACAAACTAAAAAAACCCCGAAAAGAACAGTCTTTAATACAAACATGGTGTCCTACAGAGGAAGCCACTTCTCCAAGCCTGTGTGTACCCTATGCACATGTCTGAAGAATGTACAGTCATGTACATCTGGAGAATACCAGATAACCATGACTAGTGTGAAGTTAGCTGTACCTGCAGCAATGCAGCAGCAAAGAATGAACACAACAGCAGCATTCATGCCTTACAGATAATTCTGGAAGCCATCTCGGAGACCTTTCCAGGTCTGTATGCTGCTATCTGGGACGCGCATTGAGAGCTTCTTCCAGAACTCTTCATCGACGCTGTGTAGAGAGAGGTCCAGAGATATGAGATCGCATTACATGCATGAGTGCGTGGTGTTAAATCACTCAGTTCTCTGCTAAGCCACGTCCACTGTAGCAAACAGTCGGGAGCAAATCGTTGGATACATTTCACTAGTCCAGGATACATGTAGTGCATGGGACTGCTTCCCGGCACTGTGCTTCCCTGCCCTGTGCTTCTTCGGCATGTACACTTGGGTATTGTACACTTCAAAAATCTATCTATACTAGTACTCTGATAACAGTGGAATCATGGTCAAGATCATAAAGCATGAGGACAAACTAGACTCTACTCTTTGCTAGAATAGTTGCATGTATTCAGCTTGAGGTGGGACATCATCGTAAATATTGCTTCTTCCTACCAGGGTGGATCACTACAAGGCAGAACGTTAGTCCCCTGATTAACCCTCCCCCTGAGCCATGCAATAAGATGTTTGGATATGTGAAAATAGGTACTTCGAAGTACATGTACATGTAAAAGTAGTTATACTGGTATACGTGAAATTCAAACTTCGCTACATGAACACAGACATGCCAGCACTGCTTTGCCGACGTTGAATGTGCAAATATGCCCATTGCTCACTCAGTATGCCCATTGCTCACTCAGCATGCCCATTGCTCACTCAGCATGCCCATTGCTCACTCAGTATGCCCATTGCTCACTCAGTATGCCCATTGCTCACTCAGTATGCCCATTCAGTATGCCCATTGCTCACTCAGTATGCCCATTGCTCACTCAGTATGCCCATTGCTCACTCAGTATGCCCATTGCTCACTCAGTATGCCCATTGCTCACTCAGTATGCCCATTGCTCACTCAGTATGCCCATTGCTCACTCAGTATGCCCATTGCTCACTCAGTATGCCCATTGCTCACTCAGTATGCCCATTGCTCACTCAGTATGCCCATTGCTCACTCAGTATGCCCATTGCTCACTCAGTATGCCCATTGCTCACTCAGTATGCCCATTGCTCACTCAGTATGCCCATTGCTCACTCAGTATGCCCATTGCTCACTCAGTATGCCCATTGCTCACTCAGTATGCCCATTGCTCACTCAGTATGCCCATTGCTCACTCAGCGGCAAGCCGTGACCTATCATTGTATGTATACATGTAGGCCGATGCCACGGTGCACGACCACACCTGCTGGCCGCATTGCTTTGCTCACACACTCACCGTACGGTAGCCTTCGATGCCAGCTTGGATGTGCTCCAGAAAGACCTGTGGACAAGCACACAACAAAGAATATTAATGTCTGCCCAGCTCCAAGCTATCAACCGCTATGCCTTACTTCAATAGAATGCTGCGATCCATATCAGTTCCACACCAATCTGTGTGACCAAAAATACAATGAAAACTTGGAAAACACTCCCTTGTCCTTCCCTTACCCAGTTAAATTTAAAACAGCCTGCAATGTTATGAACTTTTAATGAGTCAAAGAGGAAGATCACAGTGAGCTAGATAAACGAAGAAACAACTTTTTAAGTATCAGTATAGCATTTGCAATCAATCATACATACAATCGTCGCGTTCAAAGTGGTTGTGATTTAGGCATGACTCTCTGGCGCCAGCCAATCCGAACAGGCAGGAGAGCTGCATGGCGCAAGGGCTACTACAGTCAGAGTGCAGTATTTCAGTCGGTGTCGTTTCTGGTCATTGTATGTATGTTTGTGTGGCATGCTGACTGGCATCACTGAGCTAACACTCACCTCTCCGCTGGCATTGCCGTGTTGTGATCCTTGACAAATCGATTCAACCTGCCCTGCACCTTGTCGATATCCACTACGGCATACGACACTGTCATAGTGCCAGGGACCCCGGGACCGAGGAAACAAGAAAACAGTACACGCAGCAGCAGCAGTAGCCAATGAAGATATGAGTTCAAGAAAGCTTACATGTACCGTCACTGATGTAGGCGGAAACGTAAACGTGGAGTACGCATGCACTTCTCCGGGTCAGGCTATGAGCTGTGTGGGTCAGGCTATGTGCTGTGTGGGTCTAGTGGCGGCCTGCCCAGTCAAAGTAAGAGTAATGATCGTAACTTGTTCACCGGTACAATCCATCGTACTACACTGCACGATCCATTGTGCCACGGTATGGGTTGCACCATCTGAGCAGTACATTGGGTTAGTAATCTGGCAAAGGAAGGCGAGGTAAGCCTCCTACAATCAATGATAACCAACTGCGTGTGGATTGCTTATCTGCCTTCAACCTAAACAGCTTACCCGGCGATTGCTCAGATGCAGGTCTTGACTCTGCCACCGACGGTGACGTAGTGCCGTCGCCACTGCTAGGCAGCCCAGAGCCCCTGCTGCTCAAACGACGAGTGCCCCGCATGAGCGCATCGCTCGCCATGTCGGATTGCGCATAGCGAGATTCCTGCGAAGTGCGTGACTGCTTGCCAATGCCGGCGGTGGCTGAGCTAGTTTCCGCGTCCGGAAAACCGAGCATTGGACCCGGGGATGGTGATGTTTCCTCGATGAAGTAGCTCACTAGCTTACGTACATCGTCTTCATGTTCTATGAACAATGCCTGTAGACAGTGCAAAGCAGAGAATTCAAACGGCTTTTTGCATGCTAATGCTTACAACAGCATCCACAGCTAAACTGCAATGGTATCCAGTATGTGCCAAACAACGACTGATCGTTGCTCTGTCGACCGCCGTGAGTATGATTGAAGGCAAATATTGCGAGAACCAAAGACTTCTCGAGAACCCATCATCCAGCCAAAGCTGTAAAACAAGTTAATACACCGCTGTCATGGTGCTGCACTTGGCTGCACCAGATGTCTGCAACACAGGCCATGTGCCTTTCAATGCAAATTCTGAGCACAGGTGTGTGTGTGGGGGGGGGGGGGGGCTGTACCTTGAATAAAGAGTCGACCTTCATCAGTAGTTGCTCATCAGCCTCCAATGTCGTTACCATCTGAAGGATTTTCGGCTCCATCAGATAGTCCTGTAGAAGAAAGAAATAATAGTATTATTAAGCAGAGAGTATGTGTGTTCCAGAGCTATAGAAGGTGGAGGGGTGGAGGGGGGAGGGGGTCCACTTAGGCAGTGCACTAGGGACAATGTGCATGCGGCGTATACTCATAGCATGAGCCATCCGACCGGGAACGTGTGAGCAACACGTTTCGCTTGCGGACAGGTCATACTCTCTCAAGCTACTCCAGCATAGTTCAGCAATGTGTCTTGGCACCTGTGTTACGCCCTTGTCCAGGGGCTTCCAGGAACCTTGAAACACTGCCAACTACATGTACGTGGCCTGACCCACTCCTCATACAATAGCAGTGTCGACCAGTCAGCAACAAAGCACTGCCGGCATACATTGTTGTAAACTTACCACTTCCTCCACAAGCATCTCCAGTACGTCCCGTATCACCTGCTCGGGAATACGCTGCAGCTGGGCATCGCGAGGATCCTCACTGCCGCTTGCCGCTTCGAAGGCTGCCTGCCCAAGTGACCGCTGCTGCAGCTGCTGCTGCAGGTGCTGCTGTTGCTGCACCTGCGACATCTGCTGTGGCGCCTGTGACGAAGGCAGCGTGGTTACTTCCTCACCGACACCGGTGGCCGTTGTCGCTACATCAATAGTCGAACCAAATACGTCTTCTGAGTTCCCCTTTACCAACGGTTTCCCCTGTGGTCCTGCACCAGTTGACTGCTTTGCAGGTCGACCAAACTGACCTGCTGCTTGCTCACTAGCCGCCAAGGACACCATTGAGGCTGAAAACAGAGCGACATAGAAAACTTGGGGACGTTAAACAGGATCCTTTGTCAAGATTGTTGGCAGTTATGGGTGGAGAGAACATGAGTGTGCAGGGTGATGAAGAAATTCGGAATATGGTGCAGTGAGGGGTTATGGTGCAGTGAGGGGTTGTCTCTGTGCTGACAGCACTGTAGTAGATTGCGAAGTCACAGTGTGAGCACAGTGTGAGCACAGTGTGAGCACAGTGTGAGCACAGTGTGAGCACAGTGTGAGCCTCACAGAAAAAGACAACATACATACTGTAACATTGGGGGCTCACGTTACCTGTTGGGGTTATGATGGACTTGACAAGGTCATGTGCTGTGCGCATTCCCGCCCTCACAATACGCCCATCGTCGAGTAGAGTCGGTGTGGGAATCCTTAGCCAAAACAACATAGAATAGCATACAGTGTACACTAGATAGATGCTTGTGAAATACAATCCTTCACCATCACATCGGTATACACATGACCAAGCACCTGGAATGCTGCAATGCCAAGGTAAGGCCTACTAAGGGGGGGGGGGGGTGTTATGTCTGAAACCTAGCACTGGAAGCCAATACACCATAAACCGCTATAGATAGTGTGACTAGACCGATCAGAGGAGCTGACCAATGCACATTAAACTTACTCCGGTGGAGCTTGCCATGTCGCACCAAGCTGCTGCTCCTGGAGTACCCTATCGATCGCCAGTTGCCTCTCAACCTTTCCTCGGGCTATCTCCTCGTTCATCTTCCAGATGCCACTATAACGTGACTTGTCCACTTCTGAAAAGTGCCTGATAACATAAGCACAGTCATATTTATGGGAATTATGACATCATTGGTACAGTGTCATTATTTAATGACATCACCGGGACATGCACAGAGCACATATACAGTCATACATAGCCTATGAACTCATAAAATCCCGTAAAGTACCGTTGATCCGCCCCCTCTCTACTTCTCGCCCCCTGTCGATTTTCTACCTGTCAAGCGACTTCGGCGTATACAACGAAATATGATGTTGAACCGACGCATGCACTGCTGTACACAAAACATGCCAATCCAGGATGAAAATGTGCACAATCCAGCACATCGAGTCTGATCCTCCACGTTGTTGTACATCGTACTGCACTTGACAGCCTTGATCTCCTGCTCCCTGCCAAAAACCCAGCTGGGAAGCGATATGGCGTCGGGGGGAGGGGGGGGGAGGGGAGGGGGGGGGGGATCAACGGTACTTTACGGTAGTCACCATGGGCCTGGCATCACTTGCACAACTCACTGATATGCTAAAACAGCCATGAATCGCATTGCCACAGAGCCAACCACGTGGCTCTACAACAGCAATGTTGGTGATTTCACATCAGAAAACACCTCAGTTGGATTCCGTTCAGGTCCTGGAAGAACACCAAAGGGGCGCGCTTGGTTCATGTATGTTCAAGAATACAGTGCTGCTCAATTGTAAAATCCGATCGTGAGAGCCAAGTATGCGCCCCGTGACACCAATTCACATCCCAGTTCTTGCAGGTCTAGGGCTGCATGGAGCCGGGCACGTACCGGGCTAACCCGATCAGATTTCATTGAAGCACACACTATACTTTGAGAAACCAAACCCAACAGAGCATGCAGCTTAGCCATTGTTTCCTATCCACCGCTTACTTGGCTTTGGCTTCCAGATCGCGAAACTGCTCCGTGATGCGGCGATAGTCATCGGAGAGCTGCTGTGTGGCCGTTGCTGACTGCTGCTTGGCCTTCTCCAACTTCTTACGCAGGTTCATGTACTGATCATTTAGCCTGTGTCCCAAACACAAAACACCATGTATGCAGCAGTTATATGCAGGTCACATGCAAAATGGCGGGATGGCTTGCCACTACTAAAATGGCGGGATGGCTTGCCACTACTAAAATGGCGGGATGGCTTGCCACTAAAATAACTTCAATAAATAGACAGGGAATGGGATCAGGAAGCGCGCCTGAATACATCAGCCATAGATGAGATTGGCAGGCAGTCTATTTTGAAGTACTTTCTAGGGCTAAAAGTCAAATTTGGGACAAGCTCAGTGTAACTTTAAAACTGTTATTGTGCTATACCATCAGTATCAAGCTGATGATAAAGACAATACCGTGCTATACCATGCATGGAGTGTGTAAACAATATGCTATACCATGCATGGAGTGTGTTGCTGAGAGCGGAACACTTACGAGCTCAGCTGTCTCTTCTGTGCATTACGCATGGCGGTGTTCTCTTCGTCTCGCTTCTTCAGCACATGGTAGTTGTACTCGAGCTTCTCCGTGTTCAGCTGATAGCTGGCCTTGGTGGCTTCCATCTGCTGCTGGAGAACCTGCAGGGGATGAACCGGTAAAATCAACAGTCACTGGCGCACCGTGCACAGGAAGCTCTGTACGGCTTAGCAACGCTGTCGTCATGTGGTGCACGTAAGCCGTTCCTTACTGTACGTGACTCAGGAGTCTAGGAATAGTCGCCAGTGCGATTTACGGTGGCCGGTCTTAGGTTAGTCAATCTCTAATATAGGTGTACTGGTCTCTAATACAGGTTACTGGCCCGCTCTAATAGGGCTTGAAAGTGATGACGTCAAAACGGCCAGGGAGTAGTAAGTTGACATCAGATTTCTATTTTTGGATCCACTAAGGTGTGACTTTGCTATTGCCTAAGTATGTGGGTGCATAGCAACCCACTCATGTCGCATGCAGGTGTGACTTTTATTTCGCCACCAGTTGTAACCCCGCCCCCAGTAGCCAAATCAGTCAGTTTCACTGGCTACATCACCATGCTGTGGGTAAGACCGCTTGAAATGTGCTTGGATCCATACAAAAACTGGATCCAAGTGGATCCAATTTTTGAAATTGTTGCTATGCTGTGACGTAGCACTTTCAAGCCCTATACAGGTTACTGGCCTCTAATACAGGTTACTGGCCTCTAATACAGGTTACTGGCCTCTAATACAGGTTTACTGTATAACATAGCACATCACTATCACTGGGTACATACGTGTACAAGATGATTGTACAGATAAACAAAATAATTGTCTTCTGCGCATTTCGGCAACTCATCAAAATGTGAATGCAGTAGCTGATCTGGTCCAGACTATTTCCCACTGAATCAAGCAGTGTCCGAATGCCAAAAGATAGCTATCCCAAGGTTGCTACATACCTGTATCTCATTCTCCAGACGATTTCTCAGCTGCGCCATCTCCTCGCCATCGTGATTGCGAATGTCGTGCAGCATCTGTTGGTTGTCCTGTATGCGTTTCTGCTGCACCTTTAAGTTCTCCAGCTGAGCACACATGTATGTGTGATAGATGACAAGAGGAATTAGAAAAATCACATGTAACAATCATGCTGATGCAGAATGAGTGCAGGGCCATTAGTCCCTATGCAGAACTTGATGATGAGTGCAGGGCCATTTGTCCCTATGCAGAATGAGTGCAGGGCCATTTGTCCCTATGCAGAACTTGATCAGTGATGAGTGCAGGGCCATTTGTCCCTATGCAGAATGAGTGCAGGGCCATTCGTCCCTAGGAATCTCAAGACTTGTCTTACAGTAATGATTTGACAGCAATACTTGGCTTCAAAATTCACACGCAACCACGCCTGCACCCAAACACACACACACACACACGCGCGTGCGCGCGCACCCACGCCCGCGCACATACGTGCACACACACATGCTTACCTCCATGGCACGCCTCTTCTTCAGGGCTTCCTCCCACTCTTCTCTCTGCTCCTGAACCAGGGCACCTCGTTCACTCTCGAACGCAACCTACGAGGACAAACATGTCATACATGATACCAAACATAGGCATGCTATACAATCAAAGATACGATTGGCAGGCAAATAATGAATATGGTATAATAAGCATCCACCTACATGTATGCTGATGTGTAACGTAGCACATTGAGCTGAGTGATAGGACTATAACACTACAAGTACATGTAGTCATCAATCATTGTATTGACCAGTAGCGGCTCGGAGCTGCTAGTCAAGTGTCTGGTACTGCAGTTCACGTACAGTTGTGCCCAATGAAATCCGATCATGTGAGTTAATGCCACACCAGACGCTGTGCTGCCCTAGACCTACGAATACTGGGATGTGAATTGGTGCAGGGCGCGAACCTGACTCACGGGTTCGGCACTGTACTAGGAGAACATGTACAACCGCAACGTGTAATGAATGCTAATCGTTATTTGGGTGTAACTAACCTCAATCTGTGCAAGTTCTTCTAGATAGCTATCTGTCCAGGTGTGTACTTGCTGTTCCATTCGCTCCAGGATCATATCAACATCATCACCCTGCATTCAACAGCATTCAACAGCATTCAACATAGAAATGTACATACCCAGCGACATCATCACCCTGCAGCATTACAACGTACAAGTGCCCGCATCCATGACTGGAAATAAAGGCTATTATTGGATTAGCGAGGGAACCGGATAACCGAACACCGGTTATGTTGGATGCATCACGTATGCTGTAAATCTGTAACCAGCCATTTTCTTCCAGATGGTGAGGGATCCGGGTAAAAGGGATCTTGATAAAAGAGGACTGGATAAGCGAGGTCTGACTGTAGATAGTAGGTATTCGCAGCCTCAACCGGGCTCAAGGTCACTGAGTTGCTGTATGGAAGTCATGCTAATGATAACGGTTAGTATGGCTTGCAAAAGGTGCAAAGGCAATTTGTTCCACACTGACCAATTGAGCAGCCTTTACCATTGATTGTATAAGGGCCAACAGCATGCCGAACAACTATGATAGCACTGACTTTGAACATGCAGCGGATCACAGTTTGTCTCACACACAATACACATAACTGTAACATGTTCTCCCCATCATGCCATTTTGCATTTGTGACATGATACACATGGTATGAATACCAATCATCAACATCCTACATATAGGCGCATGTGATCGTAAGTACTGCGAAATACGCTGTGGTCGGTGTCAGGCTGCACAACGAAGGAAGGACCATGCTCTCCACGAAGATATGTTTGTCACTGTGCCAATAGTGGTGCTAGTGAATACAATAATGTGAATCAGGTGAGTCTCTGTCAGTCAGCTGCTGCTCTGAATGATCCAAAGCCAGGTAGTATCTACCATAGCACACGATGCACTGTTACACTCTACTCTAGTACTGCAGCTGTACCTGCTTCTTCAGATCCTTCACATAGCGATCATCTTTGAGTCGCAATTCCTACAGGTCAAAACACACACACACACACACACACACACACACACACACACACACACACACACACATGCACATACATACACACACACACATGCATATACACAAGTCAGAGGCAGGGGATAAGCACCATGGTACTGAGCTCAGCCGAGAGCAAATCCGCTATGCAGGAGTACAGACGAGAGAGCTTGGAAGCTCAGGGCCCTACGCTATGCTTTTATGCTTTTTTGCCTAGCTCATCGTACATGTTATAAGAACTGAGGCAAAAGTATTTGCAGAATTTATTGCGGATTGTTATTTCTCTAATAATCATCTACTTTTGATTTGCTTCTTCTTTTCTTTTTATCTCCTTATACTGTAAATCAGCAAATTTTGGCCGATGAGAAATAGAAACCTCTCTATTAAAGAGGTTAAGATGCACGTTATTTCCGACGTGACGCGCAATTTCACGTCAAGTTTGAAATCGATCGGTATTTTTGCTCTCACATGCATCCATTGCTCAATCATGCATCATTTGCCTATGACAAACTTTGGCCCGCGATTTACTTTGGCCGGTTATTACCAAGCGGCGAAATCAGCGAAATTAAATCGCCAGCGAAAATTAGTTGATTTTAATACAGTAATCGGATTTTCTGGCCTTTTTGTAGGAATACAAGTACATTGACCTGTTGAGCCAATGACGACGCCTACCTAATGCATGGTTGCCTGTGGAGCACATTACATAAATTAGCAGTCTCCTAAAATACGTATCCTGTCAGACGGCAAAAGAGTCTGCAGATTTAGTTTTTCTGCGTGTCGACGGGATGTCTGTCCTGACGTTTACTGGGGCCGGCTTAGACTCTGCCGATCACGGGCGTTCTGGACTCGACGGGATGTCTGTCCTGACGTTTCCTGGGACCGGCTTAGACTCTGCCGATCACGGGCGTTCTGGACTCAACGGGATGTCTGTCCTGACGTTGCCTGGAACCGGCGGACTCTGCCGATCACGGGCGTTCTGGAGTCGACGGGATCTCTCTTCCGACGTTTCCTGTGACCGGCGCTGAATCGCTCGTTCACGCTTATTTTGGAGACGACGGGATCTCTCTTCCAAAGCATGTTTATGCTGACGCATCCTATCACCTATTCGGCGTGTATTCTAATTTAATTTCCTCCTCGTCTCCCTTTTTCTTTCCAAATTTCCCTCTACATCAGGGAGTCGTATACATAATACGACGAATATTGTAACTGTACGGGACAGATACAGGGGCCCGCAAAGATTGTGGACAGCTGTTATATACAATCCTGTAGAGCCTTTGTAGTCACAGATACGGGACAGATACGGGACAGATACGGGATAGCTCCAGCCGTGACACAAACAAACAAACAAACAAACAAACAAACAAACAAACAAACAAACAAACAAACACCAAATTAAAGCTGTGTGGACCCTGGCTGGCGCCAGACGTTACTGAAGTAACGTCTTCTGCATAGCTACGGGAATAATAATAATAATGATCGATCATATGCAAGGCAGGAAAACACGGCAGTAGTCGCTGTATTATGACCCATATCATAGTCCTTGTACTGCTCAATCGGCCCTGAGCTCAGTCAGTCCTGACCCCAGTGGTACCCCTACAGTAAGATCGGGCGCCGAAGAACACCCAGGCTGGAAAACCGGCAAAATTTAAGAACAGTCCAGGCTAGAATTATCAGATTTAAGAACACTTTTTAAAATTTGGAATTTCCACATGAGTGCAGTATTTAACTGATCGGCTTTGAGCTCGCCACAACACCTGTACATAATAATAATAATAATAATAATAATTTTTTAAAAGAGGTCGGAGGCGGATAATACTTTAAAACGAAGGTAAGTTATGGGTCGCAAATATCCACGCAAACACACATCCAGTCATAATAAGGCACTTGTCATAAGTATCCGAACGTTTTCGGTCCCTTCTCATCAAGGATTATACAGGGAATGGCTCAAGCTGGAAAGACTAAAACTTATATAGCGTAAAGATAATTAGATAACAACACTCGTGACAACGTGGAAAATTATCAAGTTTAGCACGACACAAAACTCGAAGGAAAATAATAATAATAGTGACAACAACATAGTGAGCAAATTAAGTTACATTGTTACCACCTCGACGAGGAGTAACACCAAACAATTGTAGCGACAACACATTTTCTTTCTGTACGCAAAGTTCAGGATCTAACTTACGGATATACAAAGCTTCTAACACAGCCAAATGTAACGCACATCTACCACGTGACAATATTGAGAAAACATTATCACTGTACAACTCACGATAATTGGTACGGGCTGACAGATGTTGCTTGATTGACGAAGTGCGATTCCTAGCTCCATTGGGTGTTGTCTCCTCCAATGTCCCGTCATCTTGCCTCTTCGTGGCATCACCACTATCTGTCTCTTCGCGTTTCCGCGGCCTTCCGCGTTTCTTGACACTAACCGTTGGGTGCGCGATACCCGGTGTCCTTTCCGTTACGTCTCCTCCATTGCGGATTTCTATTGAGCTTCTTACTCCAACTTGTCCGGTGTCCGATATTGAGGTTAGTTTTCGCGGTCTACCACGTTTTCGAATATTGACTGTTGTTGTCACTTCCGTTGTCGTTGTATGTTCGTCCTCATCAGTCCGTATTTTCACTTGGCTTCTCGTCACCCTTTCCGATGCCGACAGATCCTTTGTCAGTTTCGGTGGTTTACGTGTGGGTCTTTCACCATCTTTTATGCTGTTCTCAGCTGGCCCGTGTCCTACACACGCAGAGGAGGACGGGCATGCAGTCACATCTTCACGGGAAGAGGAAGATCCACCGATGGACTGGACAGCACATTTCGGAGGACGACCACGGCGAGGACGACAATCGCGCGCATCAAGCGGAACACAACTTAACGGCAAGTTTTAGTCTTTCCAGCTTGAGCCATTCCCTGTATAATCCTTGATGAGAAGGGACCGAAAACGTTCGGATACTTATGACAAGTGCCTTATTATGACTGGATGTGTGTTTGCGTGGATATTTGCGACCCATAACTTACCTTCGTTTTAAAATAATAATAATAATAATAATAATAATAGTAATAGCACATTGTTGTGTATGCAAGTTAGTCATTATATATCTACTACACCGTTTGCTACTGACTGCGCATGCTCGCATATGGTTGTTGTTGTTATTTTACTTGACCAAGAGGAATGTCTTCCAAAAGCTAGTGTAACTGTTTGTGTGTGTCAGTGAGAATGCATGAGTGTAATGGAATGTTAGTCCGCAAGGGGACATAACAATTTGGCGACGAAGATAAAAGACGAAGATGTCGCGATCGAAGCTTGAAATATTTGAAAAAGGTGATTTTCGTGAGTATGTAGAGAGACTCACGTTTTATTTTATCGCCAACAGTATTGGACAAGTCGCAGCTGGGGCAACCGCGGACCAGGAGAGAGCGGCAGACACGCAAAAGGCAGCTGTCCTGATCAGTCAACTCTCTGCTGAGAACTACTCGATTCTGAAGAGTCTTTGCCTGCCGGACAAACCAGCGCAGAAAACGTTTGAGGAACTCGGAGAATTGCTTTCAGAGCACTTCAAGCCTAATGTCAGTGTGTTGGCGGCGACTCATAGATTCCAGAGGATTTGTCAAAAGGATGGAGAGTCAGCAACACAGTATGCAGCTAGACTAAAGCAAGCAGCCATGGACTGTAAGTTTCAGGCGTATTTGGACAGGGCACTCCGAGACCAGTTTGTCAGTGGGTTGAAGTCGATCAGTGTTACGAAGGAGATATTGTCGAAAGCAAAGGAGACCTCAAGTTTGGCGGACATTGTGACGATGGCATCAGCCTATGAAACTGCATCGAGAGAGTCGGAACAATTGACGGCGCAGTCCGTCCACGCCGTTCGTTCGCGCCAGTCGACGAGCAAGCCAACTCCAACTTTCAAGTCGCACGACAAGAAATGTTTTCGGTGTGACAAGGCTGGTCACAAACCGGAAGAGTGCCGCTTCAAGAGTGTGAAGTGTCACGCGTGTGGTACGGTGGGTCACATCGAGAGAGCTTGCCGCAAGAAGAAGTCTGGACAAACCGTCCATCACATCGCGGAAGAAATTGGTGAGTTCGTTCCATGTGCTAGTAAACCCGATGTCACCATGTATAGTGTAAATGCAATGGGGCGACTACCGTACACTGTATCATTAGATGTAATGGGTACCACTATCCAAATGGAGATTGATACAGGAAGTGCTGTCACGATTCTCAGCAGCGCAGATTTCTTGCAATGCAATGGTGTGCTGAGTAACCTGATGGAATCCAGTATCAACCTTGTGTCCTACTCTGGAGATGTGATTAATTGTCTCGGGGAAGCGGAAATGGAGTTCCGAATGGGCACACAATTGCACACACTATTGGTGAGGGTTACAAATGGAAACCGTCCATCTATTCTGGGCAGAGATGCAATGGCTTTGTTCAAACTCCCCTGGAAATCAATTTTCGAAGTGCACCAGGTCGAAAAGTCTGGCGCTAAATTCATTGAGAAATACCCAGGGTTGTTCGACACCTCAGAAGTGGGAAAGGTGAAAGGCGTGCAGGTGAAATTGCATGTGTCTGATGAGAGCCCTGTTTACCGAAAGGCCAGGCCGGTACCACTGTCAATTCGGGAGAGCTACCACTCTTGAGGAGCTATTGCACAAATTGGGCCCGGGGTCTAAATTCACGAAGCTGGATTTGTCGCAAGCCTACCACCAGCTAGAGATAGCACCTGAATGTCGGAAGTACACCACGATCAATACCATGCAGGGGTTGTATCAGTACAAACGACTCCCTTTTGGTTTTCACAGCGCCGTATCTATTTTCCAACGGGTAATGGAAGAAACCCTTAGCGATTTGCCAGGATGCGGGGGCTACATCGACGATGTGTTGTGTACTGGTCGTGATGAGGAGATCCATGAGAAAAATGTGGATCAAGTGCTATCTTGCCTAAATGAGAAAGGATTCAAGCTCAATCCTAAGAAGTTCAGCTACATG